CCCAGAGGAGACAGCACAGCCTTATTCTCTTCCTCAGCTTCTTTTCCAGACTCCTCACGACTGTCCGACTGTCCCCGGCTGGAAGTTTGGATGGCATCCAACTGGGATACGGCGTCCTTGATGTGTTTCTTTTTTTTCTGTCGTAATCACATTCGAGTCTGGCTCCCTGAGATTACAGTCCTCCTCTCCTCTCTTTTACTTGTGTGTTCCCAAAGTTCTTTAGCTACACATTTCAAAATAATCTCTTAGTTATTTCAGACCTTCCTTTCACTTTGAGTAACAAGACTACGCAGCACCTGAAGGCTGTGAAGGTGGCTTGCAAAAGCCTCAGGAATGCTTTGGTGAAGAAAAGGGAACATTGGGACGACGCCTATTCTGTTCCATATACATATATTTGGTTCTAAATACACTCAGTGAAGGAAAACCTTATTGTTTCGAAAGAAAAATTGGAAAATGCCAAAGGACAAGATGAAGAAAACAATCCCACATTATCTCATCAGGCTGAGATAACATCGTGCCACCCGGCGTGCACGTCACGTGTATCATAACGTCACACACACAGTTTTATCACTGGCTTCATCACTCAGAAATACCTCTCAGTAACTACTCATCACAAGTCAATTTTAAGTGGCCGAAGAATGTTAACTTTCATAGATGTGCCATAAATTACTAAACACATCTGTTGTTGGGCATTCAGGTTATTTCCTTTCACTATTATAAGTACCTAATTTACTTAATTTATTTTCTCTTTTTAATCCTCACCTGAGGATATTTTTCCATTGTTTTTTAGAGAGAGTATCAGAGAGAGGGAAAGACAGAGAGAAATATCGATGTGAGAAAAACGTATTGATTTGTTGCCTCCTACACAAGCCCGTACCAGGACCGGGCAGGGAGGAGCCTGCAGCAGAGGTATGTGGCCTTGACCGGAATCGAACTGGGGACCCCCGCAGGCCCACGCTCTATCCACTGAGCCAAACCAGCGAGGGCTTATTTTCTTTTTAAAAAATCAGGGTTCTAGAAAATACCATGTTCTTGTCCTTTCGTCTCCCTTTTGCACGAGTGTGTGAGTCACAGTCTTGCGGGGGCGGGGCGGGGTGGGGGGGATGGTATGCAGTTTGTCCTGTACATGGATTTGTTGTGACTCCATCTACCGACATCATGTTTCTCTTTGTGGCGATGACCGCTTGTTTTCCACACCGTTCTGTGGTTCTAAAAACAAGCGTTACGCAGCTCCTCTTGCTGCTCACGCACACTGCCCTGCCTTCCTGCCTTCCAGCGGAGGCTGGTCTCCAAGAGCACGGCATCGTAAACAACGTTCTCCGAACACCTACCGATTGACAATGTGGTGTATTTTTATTTGAAATGACTGGCCACTGGCTACTCTGAAACACGTTGTAACCTTGACCTTTACATTCGCCATTGTTTTACTGTTCTTTTAAATGCCAGGCAGTATAACACAAAGGTGACTTCTTCCTTGATGGTACTTCTGAATAATACGCAGTATAATGGAAAGTAATAAATGAACGGCCATGGATATATTGCGTCTGCATTGAAATGCATTGAAGAGTGGGTTTAAACCATGGGCTTCTGATGCTGCTCTTCTCTCTGACGGTTTGATCGTGGGGTGGGAGAAGTTTTCAAAGGGAATCATTATATGGCCTTAGAGAAATCCTGGGTGATCTCAGGTTTCTAAATCAAGCCTTGCATCTTGGTCAAGTTTCTGTTTAGTGCATTATGAAGACGATGATTAGAGTCTTATTTAGCTAAGAACACGCAGGGAAGCACACGCTGGCCATTCTTGGCTGGGTGGCCTCTGAAAGTGGGAGCCAGAGAAGGGCCCAAGGTGGGATGGGGTGTGGAGATGGCAGCCATTGTCCCAAAGAGCCATGGGAGGTGGCTTGGTGACAGAAGGTAGGAGAGCTGGGGCAGTGGGGTTCAAGTGTCCAAACTGCAAAGAGTGTGACTTGAGCTAAACAAACCAGAAAAGCTAGTATTCCTGCTGGGGTCTCAGGCTGTATGTCTATGCACGACCATCAGTTTTCTTTTCTTTATTTAATCGTCACCTGAGGACATGTTTTTACTGATTTTTAGAGAGAGGAAGGGAGAGAAAGATGGAGAGAGAGAGGAGGAGAGAGAAAGAAAGAGGAAGAGAAGATGGGAGGGGGAGACAGAGAAAGAGAGAGGAGAGAGAGAGAGAGAGAAAGAGAGAGAGGTTGCCTTCTTAATACACCCTGACCAGAGATCAAACCCAAAACCTAGGCCTGTGCTGTGACCGGGAATTAAACCCACAACCTTTTGCTGTACGATGACACTCCAGCCAACTGAGCCACCGGCCAGGCCCAGTTTTCCTTTGATGCTCCCCATTATTTAGTTACGCCAGACTTGAAATGGAGCCTGTGCCAGGGAGTAGTTTAAAAAGGGGCACTGAGAACCCGTTAGAATTAAACCGTGTAACGGAATGACAGCAAATTGCACAAACCTGCCATTGATCCCATCAATGTTCACTCCTGCTTGGTACTAGATACCGTCTTTGGAATTCAGTAATGAACGTGATACAAGTTTCCTGCTCTCAGGAGAGGCTGTGCTGCTCAGCTTCTGAATGCAGTGGCCCCAAGTGAAGGAAGCTTGGGTTTCTCACAGCTACAGGTTTCAAACAGCAAGATGCTAACAGTGGTGAAATGGAAGTGGTCTGGGGTGAAGGGCTGTCAGCGGATGAGCAGGGAGATGAGGGAGTTGGTCATGGGCAGAGGCTGGCAGGTGGACGGCTGCACCGGTGTGGGATCTGGGGGCGTCCACAGTTGTGCAGGCCTCAACATGGGTAGCTGGCTTTGATGGGCTGCTCTGAAGGCTTGAGGCCTGACCCGGTGTTCCCAAGGTCCCTGAGGTGATGCTTTCCTGACAGTGAGACCCTCGTAGGATTGGGCAGTTCACCCAGCCCTGGACTAAGGCTACTCAAAGGGAAGCCAGCTGACTGGGCCAAGAGATAAGTACAAGCATCGAGAGTACGTGCTTAAAAATTTCTATAGCAACTTGACTTTGCAGCCACCTCCAAGTGCTTGAGCAGCAGACCAGTTTGTTTGAACAGGATGTAGAGCCCTGTGGGTTTTGTGGGACTTACTCGTGTGAGTACGTGCACATCTGGTTGGAGCTGGGAACTAGTCCTGTGCAGGGGGCCACGTGTCTTTCCCTAATGAATAGAAACAAAACACCGGACAAAACAACCTGCTCCTTCACAGCTGTAGCTTGAGAAACAGCACTGGAGGTGCTGACGCTCAGTTGGTTGGAGTGTCATTCCATACAGCAAACGGTTGTGGGTTTGATTCTGGGCCACAGCACGTGACTAGGTTGCGGGTTCGAGCCTTGGTGAGGGTGTGCTCAGGAAGCAAGCGATCAATGTTTCTCTCTCACATCGAGCGTGGAGGTAATGGGAGTGAGGCTGTGGGCCCCAAGGTCAAGGACTTAAATAAATCTACAACCACTTATCGCACCCGATTTTCAGTTCAGTCTTCGTCAATGTACAGACTCACCTTCCCCCCTTCCCCTCCTCCTTGTCATCAGCATGTGCTCTTTTTTCATAAACATTATTTTTCTATGCACATCATATACGATTCCATACCTATGCTCTACACGCATTACACACAATGCATACATGCGCCATTTTAAATAAGGTTAAAGTATTTCATTGTGTTTATATGTCACAGGTTCTTAGCTCCTCTACTTGGGGCCATTGCTAACTTTTCCTGTTTTAAATAGTACATCCGTGAATATTTTTAAACAAAAGTTTTTTTTTCTATTTCTTTTGGGTCCCTAGGGTCTGTCCCCAAAGGTGAAGTACTATGTCAAAGGTCACAATGTTATTGCTATTGCTCTGTAGAAAGACAGAATCAATTTCTATTGTCGGAGTCGGGACACAGACTTTTCTGTGGCTCTAGGCTGTGCGATTATAACACTTTTTTTTGTTAGTTTAGTTGGCTTATAGTAGTACACTCGTCTGGAAGTTGTTTTAATGTGCTTACTTCAGGAGGTGGTGAGGATGTGATGATTTGAGTATAATATTTTCTCACCTGTAAAATTAAACAATCTTAAAAAAAAAACTCTTACCAAGTTGAACCTGGATGTTGACATCTTGTAATTTTATCAGTTTTACATAGTTTGCATGTAAGCTTTTCTTCATCGTCCTTTACAGCTTTACCCATGCTGTTATTGTTGGTTTTCTATTTGTTTCGTTATATTTTGTGGTGTAAAACTTGTTCGTTAGTGTTTATATATTTGTACTCAGCTATGCCATCTCTTTTGCGATTCTATATTTTTTTTGGTTAGAAGTTATTTTCCCCTTTACAAGTGGGATGAATATGCTATTCTGCTCTTTCCTAGTTTTTAAAATGTGATCTCTTGGATCTATCGGAACCTTATTAGAGTGTTTGGTGTAAGATGTGGATCTAGATTGAATTCTGAAGTGTAAATGTAACAGTAACTTTTTTTTTTTTTTAATACATTTTATTGATTTTTCACAGAGAGGAAGGGAGAGAGATAGAGAGCCAGAAACATCGATGAGAGAGAAACATCGATCAGCCGCCTCCTGCACATCTCCCACTGGGGATATGCCCGCAACCCAGGCACACGCCCCTGACCGGAATCGAACCCGGGACCTCTCAGTCCGCAGGCCGACGCTCTATCCACTGAGCCAAACCGGTTTCGGCAATGTAACAGTAACTTTGATTAGTGATTTCCCCCTCATTCATATTAAGAGCTTTTGCCATGTGAAATTAATGTATTTTTGGAATCTCCATTGTTATGCTACTATTTATTTCAAAAGTTAACCCAATATATAGAAATGTCATTTGTAATCTATTTAATAAATCACTCTACCACCATGACTTGAAAATAGTATATCGTTTTGGTTTCTTTCCTCTTATTCTTTGAGTTGTATTTCACTGTCAGTACAGTTCCCTAAACCTGCCTGATTAAAAAAATTGTTTAATTTCTATTTTCTTCTGAAGACATATTGCACGAACTCTTGAGACAAAGGACATTGGACATTAAGAAAGAGGTTCACCCTGGTCTTTACTGTCTAGTGCAGTTACTGGTCTTCTTGTGTATACTCTGCTGGCCTCATTACAAAAGCCACGATACGAGCCTATTCCCTCAGCTTTAGCACAGCGCCAGTGCAGAAGGCCCTGCCCGATTGCTTGCTGCACTTGGCCCCATGAAGGCAAGTGCTTTATGGTGCTTTCTCGAAGCAGTGATTTTCGTGGGGTGTGGCTGGTTCATGAGAGGATGGGGTTGAGGGTTCGAAAACCCCAAGAGTCAATCAGCTTATCTCTGATCCCAGGCTACAAACCGTTCTCTGTGCTTTGGTCACAAAGGAATTGGGAGAGATTTGTCAGCAGACTTGTCCTCAATAGTGAAAGAAACTCTGCACGACATGGAGTGCTGACTGTGGATGTGAAATAAAGTGTCTTTCTGGGACCAATATTTAGACATTAGTAAGGCGAGAGGGAAGAAAGTGCACATCATTAGACTGTACACTTTGTTCTGTGTGGGGTAACTTTGAAAGTGTTTTCTGTCTCAGTGTGTCCTGAATTTTTAGAATTACTGGCAAGTTTCCTGGGTGGTGCCTCCATCTCAGAGCTGCTAGCAGAGGGGCATATGCTGCCTCAGAGGTCAGGCCGTGTGTGATGGAAGATGCCTGTGGGAGTTGGTCATAGATCCTTCCCTACGTGGGGCCATTCGTCTCTGAGTGCCATAGCATATTTCTCTTTGATTATGGACTCTGTGACAATATCAAATGACTCCAGAAACTGAGAATGAATATTTGGTATATTACATTTTTATCAAATTCCCTAATAAGTCAAAAACCCTTGGCAATGAAATTAGCAAAGACTTTCTGATTATTTTAAAGACCATAAACTCTTGCATTATGTAGCTAGTCTACACTTAAACCTTTTTCCCCCCTTCTGTTTAGTAATTTTTTTGGCTCTCCCGCTAGTTGCCTAATGTATTTTTCTGACAGATTAATATTTGTTACCACTAGCCTGGGTGGCGGTCAGATTCACTTTTTTCTTCCATCTGCTTACTTCCCCCTTATAAAATAATTGAGATAATAGGAGATGCATGTAGCACACAGAACTTTTAGCTTCCAATGAATAATAACCAACATTTATGTAATGCATTACAGCGCAGAATGTGTTTCATCTTCTTTGGCCTTCATGAAACCCTTTGAGGTGGGGATTATTGGTACTGAGGTAGATACTGAAGCTCAGAGCCTGTATAACCACCTGCCTTAGTTTTCCCCAGTGTATCTTCTGGTTTTCCTTCTTTTGAACAGAATTACATTTTATTGAAAGAGAATGGAAGTTTTTTTAAAAAAAGATCACAATATATGTTGCTCCATGTAATAGAAATAATGAATAACTAACCATTATGATGCTGTAATATATTTTCTTAAGAGTTATGACTATGCAAAAGAATATGTTTATTATTTAAAAAAAGTCTTTTGGAAATATTTACCTACTTATTGATCAAATGAATGTAATATGAAGATTTTTTCTAATTTTATTCAAATGATCTCATTTAAGGGACAAATGTGTCCAGAAGCACAGCTACGAAATTCTGAGGTTTTTGGCTATTTTATAGTCAAGTTTTAAAAATTTCATTTGAAAGTATTTGTTGCCAGAATATAAAATTGAAATTGATTTTTTTTCCTTTTAAAATTGTAGTGCTCTTTTTATTTTATTTTTTTTTGGTTTTCCTTTTTTCTTTTTTTTAAAAAATTAAATCTTTATTGTTCAGATTATTAAAGTTGTTCCTCTTTTTCCCCCCATGAAATTGATTTTTGTCTATTAAACTATCATATTGTTATCTTGCTAAATTCATGTATTAGTTTTACTAGTTGTTATTTTCAGTTGTGTGTATATTTGTTAGGATTTTCCATATAGACTATAATGTCCTCTTTATGCCTTTTGCCTCCTTGACTTTTGCAATGTATATGCTACAGTAATAGGCACCTGTTTGAACCAGTGCTGTTATAATGTTCTCATTGTGTCAAGACTTTATGTCTGGCTTATAAACCATAGATACTATGTTGGGGGATTTTATTAGAAAATTTTTAAATAACCAATCTTGAGCTATTAGAACTTTGAAAATGATTTTTCATATATTGGTAATGAGCATCAGTGCATGTTTTGACATTATAAAGGGGGGAGGAATAAATGGTGATGACAGGAGACTTGACTTGGGGCGGTGAACCCACAATATAATATACAGGTAATGTGTTATAGAATTGTACATCTGAAACCTATATAATTTTATTAACCAATATCACCCCAAGAATTCAATATCAATTTTAAAAAATGCAATGTCAGGAATTTTGATAGATGTTCGTTGGCAATTCTGACAGGCATTTAAGTATTTTGTTTTATTTGCAGGGCTGTGACTAACAGGATCTTAATAAAAATCCACTCCCATTGAGGCAGTATGGCTAATTTTAGATGCTAAGTTTACAGAGAAGCATGTTAAGCAGATTGAGAGAAAAGGGGAGATGAGACGGGATAGAAACTCAAGTATCTAAAATGTGAACAATATTTTTGACTATTCATTGTAGCATTATGTCTATAATGAAATAGTATTTGAAATATTGCATAGGAAGATAAAAAGAGAAAAAGATTCAGATTTAACTCTGACACTCCCAAGTTGTGTGAACATGGGCAAGCGACTTATCCTTAGTTTTTAAAAAAACTTTAAAGTGGAAATAATAATAAGCAGCTTGCAGTATTGTTTGGATTAGACATAATATATGTAAAGCACCTGGCACATACTAGGCATGCAATAACATGTAGTTATGATTATTATAGAACTCCATCCTCTAGCATTTACTTATTAAATTATTTTTTATGTATTAAATTATTATTATTATTTTTAAAATATATTTTATTGATTTTTTACAGAGAGGAAGGGAGAGAGAGAGTTAGAAACATCGATGAGAGAGAAAAACATTGATCAGCTGCCTCCTGCACACTCCCTACTGGAGATGTGCCCGCAACCAAGGTACATGCCCTTGACCGGAATCAAACCTGGGACCTTTCAGTCCACAGGCTGACGCTCTATCCACTGAGCCAAATCGGTTACGGCAGTATTAAATTATTTTAACTTATCAATGGATACCATCAAAAATTATATCTTCAAAGAATAACATCTTGCTGTAGCCTGTTTGGCTCAGTGGATAGAGCACGGGCCTGTGGACTGAAGGGTCCCAGGTTCGATTCAGTCAAGGGTACACACCTCAGTTGCAGGCTGGATCCCCAGCCCTGGTCAGGGCTCCTGTGGGAGGCAACCAATCGATGTTTCTCTCTTTCTGTCTCTCCCCCTCCTTTCCACTCCTCTCTAAAAATTAATGAAAATATACCCTAGGGCCATGGTTGGCAAACTGCGGCTCGAGAGCCACATGCAGCTCTTTGGCCCCTTCAGTGTGGCCCGAAGTTTCAATCGCACTCTATGTGCGCGCCCACACGTGGTATTTTGTGGAAGAGCCACACTCAAGGGGCCGCTGTTTGCCGACCACTGCACTAGGGTGAGGATTAACAACAACCAAAAAAGAAAGAAAGAACGGTATCTTTGAAGATCCTGCTGAAAGGAAACTGCATTGGCAGATGAGGAAGTAGCCTGATAAATCACTACAGCGATGGTAGTTGCATCGCTTACCAATTTCCTCCTGTCTCTTATTGCCATTTACCCTAGTTTGGAGAGTCAGACAAACACGTTTCCTTCCCTGGGCCTCTGAGGGTCTCACGCTATGAGACTATGCTTAGTTGTCCCGGAGCACTGGAGCCCGGGCTGGGGCGGCGTGGCCACTGGTGGCTGTGGAGCCACTGGGGCCACCGCAGTGACTGACAGCCAGGTGGCCCTGCCCGGCTTTGTCTTCATCATTCGCCCTGCTTCCCCTTCCCGTACTCTGTATGTAGACTGCTCGGTGAGGCGTTCTTGGCTAATGTTGTAACCTCTCTCTTTCTTCTAGAATTCTGAAGGTGGACTCTATGTTTGCATGAATACGTTTTTGGCCTTTGGAAGGGAGCACGTTGAAAGACATTTTCGAAAAACTGGACAGAGTGTATACATGCACCTGAAAAGACACGTGCGAGAGGTGAGAGAACTGCCTGGGTATCTTTCTTGTGATGTTGTCTTTAGTGCAGTGATGGCGAACCTCTGACACGCGTGTCAGAGGTGACACGTGAACTCATTTTTTTGGTTGATTTTTCTTTGTTAAATGGCATTTAAATATATAAAATAAATATCAAAAATATAAGTCTTTGTTTTACTATGGTTGCAAATATCAAAAAATTTCTATATGTGACACGGCACCAGAGTTAAGTTAGGGTTTTTCAAAATGCTGACACGCCGAGCTCAAAAGGTTCGCCATCACTGCCTTAGTGTGTGAATCACATGGAGACTTTACTGTGCCCGCCTAACTTCTGGTTCTCCTCGATGATGGGAAACAGCAACAGGACTGTCTGTAGAAAGTCATAGATTCCCCCCAAATCTTACCTTACCCAGTTTTATTTCTCTCTTCCTCTGAACCTCTGCTTGGAGTTAAGAAGATATGGGTTGGAAAAAAAAAATACAGAAAAGTACAGAAAATAATCGTAGAAACACTCATGGATCCAAAAATCAGAAATAAAAAATATTTGGATATTTTTGCTTCAGATTCATTTTTTCCCTTTTGTTTCCCTCACTCCTAGAAGTAACCATAGCTGTGAATTTGTTGTTTCTCACTCCTACGCATGTCACTATTTATTATAGGTATTCATCTTCTATATGTGGGATGACTGTGTGTTTTAAAGATGTAGATAAATACCATCATACTGTTGCCTATGATTCTGTGTAAAGCTTTCCCTTTCAACATTGTTTTTTGAAATCTGTTCATGTTGTGATGCATTTGGTTGTACTTAATTCATTTTACTAGTTGGTATTCTAGCTCGTCATTTATTATTCTACTAGAGGCCTGATGCATGAAATTCGTGCAGGGGGCTTGCTCCTCATAGCCCCGACTGCCTCGGCCCTTGCAGCCCTGGCTTCTTCTGAATGGTTGCTCTGCTCTTGGTCTAAATAGCATATTAGCTCTTTATTATGTAGGATTCTCCTATTAATGAACATTTAGACTGTTTCTTTTTTTTTTTTTTT